TAGAATTCAACCACTTCTTTGCGCCACCTTAACGAAATCACAAACGACGTTTAAAGTTTAACGTTTCAACGTGAAGGCCTGCAACCACTGGTCCAGTGTGCATCCCCATCTTGAAGGTCACAGGCAAACCCTGGTAGCGTCTCGCGCAAGCGAGACGAAGCGTGGGAAGTTTAGTCGAAAGACCATGTGAAATCATGCAATGTGAGGCCCCCAAGATAGATAAGTTGGTGCACATAACTCCAATTTCACTATGGTTTATGGTACTTATAACTATACTTACTAACTCCAATGACTATGGTTTATGGTACTTATAACAATACTTACTAACTCCAATAACTATGGTTCATGGTACTTATAACGAACTAGTTACTGGGGCGAATCTAAACAAACAAACATCACTGGGGGGGGGGGGCACCACCTTGTGTGAATTATGGGGATAGTAATTGGGATATGCTGCGATAGGATAGATGATATGAAATAATTTTGCGTGAGATACGAAACTTTCAGGGGTATAGCCAACAAAACACCCCAACAAAAAGAAAGCAACACAGCAAAGATATGGAGACATATATACACATGATATTAAATGATATACATCATATACCGTAACTGTTAGTCATAACCAGAGGGTATATCCATCAATATCCAGGAAAATTATCCCATTATTATCCCATTATCATCCCTATAAAACCATTAAAAAAAACAATATAAAACCATATAAAACCATATAAAACCATTAAAAATCATATAACACCATTAAACAAAAATATATAAAACCATATTAAACCATATAAAACCATAATAAACCATTTTAAACCATATTAAACCATATTAAACCATATAAAACCATATAAAACCATATTAAACCATATGAAACCATATTAAACCATTTTAAACCATATTAAACCATATTAAACCATAAAAACCATATAAAACCATAAAACAACATATAAAACCATACAACATGTAAAACCATAAAACAACATATAAAACCATATAAAGCCATATAAAAACATATTAAACCATTTTAAACCATATTAAACCATATTAAACCATATAAAACCATATAAAACCATATAAAACCATATAAAACAATAAAACAACATATAAAACCATAAAACAACATATAAAACCATATAAAACCATATAAAACCATATAAAACCATCTTTAGCCAAGCTCCCGGGCCATCTTTGGTTTCCGCGCCGCCTGGGCTTTCATTCCAGGTGACCCCAGGTGACCCAACTGAGATGGGGGTGGCTCAGGTGACCTGTTTGGTACCCCTGTTTGAAAACAAAAATAACTTCGCTGGGTTCAAAAACATGCTATTTTATAGGTATATGTGGACATTTATCTATGGTTTTTACAGGTATTTCTAGGTATTTTATAGGTATATGTGGATATTTAATGACATTTATCTATGGTTTTTACAGGTATTTCTAGATATTTATAGATTAAAATGGATTAAAATGGATATTCATCCCTCAACAAATGGTATTTGTAGGTATTGATCCATAGCCAAAAAACCAGGTGTAACCACACCCAAATAGTTGGGAAATAGATGCACCTGCTGTTGATACTTGCAACTTGCAACAAAAAACTGCAGCTAAAAAAATGCGATAAGCAAACAAATGAATGTTCCATCCATTTTTTTTTCAGAGGCCAGAAGGAGGCTATTTGAGTGAGCTGGTGATTGATTCATCTGGATGCTGGTGGTTCAGTTTCCAGTTGCAAACACATGGTACCCTAACTCTTAGTATCTTGATGATTCCTCAGAACTCCCAACCGTGTCAAACCATCCCCCATCTGAGTTAACACAAGGCAGAATGGCTGAACATCTTTTGATATTTATCTGGTTGGTGGTTTTAACCACATTGAAAAATATTATATAGTCAATGGGAAGGGATTATCCCATATATCATAGGAAAAAAATGTTTGAAACCACCAACCCGTTATGATATCTTCCTATTTTGATATCCGTTAACATACTTTAAATGGTACTCGGCATTCATCAAAGCTTTGTTTGGAGCGCCATCCAATCGTGAAACCAATCTACATCTCTTGGACTTGATGATCGTCGACACTCGCATTTCCCAGAACACTTGTGTATCTGAAAAGGTGGATAAAATATGGTAAAATCAACCAAAATCAACCATAGAAAAGGTACGAAAATGGTTTTGTCCATGAAATCATATGTTTTGGGAGATGGGTCAAAACATGTTAAAACCACCAAGCAGTTATGTTTTGATTCGGGAAATGATGATTCTCCCAGAAACTTCGTCCAAGCCATGCCGGATCCAAAACTTGTTCTTGGTGGTTAAAAAGATGTTAAAAAGTAGACACGGCAAGCACATACAGTAGGCGAAACCTAATGTTTTTTTGTTGGTTCATTAAGGGCGATTTTCATGTTACCCTCTGGTAATGACTGTATAGCTATTGAAGCCATGGCCCATTCGAAATAGTGGATTTACCCAGCTATAAAAAGGTGGATCTTTCATGATCTTTCCATATAAATCACCATTTTCCCATGGTTTTCCCATGGTTTTCCCATGGTTTTCCCATAAAAAATTGTGTTTTTTCCTATGACAAATGGTGGATCTTTCCCCTGAGCCACTATAAACTTTGTCCAGATCCAGCAGGTCTAGCCACTGACTATAACCAGGGAATAGCGTGCAGTAAACTAACATAGCTATGGATTATGGATCCATATGGATCCTTTCTGGATCCTTTTCTGGTCCATTTATAGATGCTTTACCTATAAAATGCAGTCATGATCCAGTTCGCAAAGTGTTTACCAGAGGGCAACCAGTCGTTCGCCACATATCGTTCGCCAGTTGGAGCCCAGTTGGGTCTGCGCGCTAAAATCTCTGCAGCTGCCTCCGGAAAAGCGCGGGGAGGAACTGGATGGAACTGGCTCAGTGGCTTCAACAGCCCCACATCCTGAAGAAGACTATGGTGATACAGTGGATGGAAGAAATCCTGCACCACCTTGGATGGTTGAAACCCTTTAAATAATGGGATAAAGCACCTATCAGCTGGTGCAAGATTTCGCAACCATCCACAGTATCATGGGAATTATAGTGGCGATATTTTGTTTCATCATGGGGATATCATATTATGTCATATGGTAATAACATGTAATAACTCGGGAATCACTGAATCACCAAAATCATATGATTCTTTTTTGTGTCTGGAAATGGTGAATGTATCATACAATGTGGGCCCCCCCAGTTATAAGTTGGTTATTTGCGTACCATTCACCATAGTGAAATTGGAGTTTTGTGCACCAACTGAACGCGATTTCGTGGCCGGGGGCCTCACATTGCAATCATAGTAGATGACATCTTTCACCCACATGACCGACATTTGAAAAAGAGGGAACAGCTGTGGGATCTATGGAATCCTGATCCCTACGCCACTTCCCAAAATCCTTGGGTTTCAGTATTTCATTCAGAGAAACCAAAGGATTTGATGATTCTATTTTTTGTAGCGGCCAAACTCTTCGGCCTTGACCCGTCATTCTCCCCTATGGCTGAAGAAATCTGAAACCATCCAGTCGTGTTGTCGAGTGCTCCAGATCTTTCACGATGAATTTGTTCAAGTAGTTTCATTAACGATGTCCAAATTGATATACCCTCTGGTTATTTAACATAGCCACGGAAAATCACCATTTTTAATAGGTAAACCCAGGTATATAAACCATCTATAAATGGGCCATCTATACCATGGCTATGTTAGTCATAACCAGATGGTAACTTTAAGGTTCATATTTGTATTAATTGACCCCAATCAATGAAGGTCTGACTATCCCCGAATATCCGAATATCTTCTGGGAAAATAGACGCACATTAATACACCATGTAACTTGAATATGATGATTATGATATATTATGATTAATTTTATATCTATTTTCCATTATTTTCCCACATGTTTGACTCAACAAAACAAACATGACCAGCAATTTTCTGCAGCCTTTGGTGAAACCGGCAGTGGCCTGGATCAATCGTCCCAAGACAGCGGTGTGTCCCGAGTCCTTCGCCTGGTTTGTGGGTTGCCATGGGATCAGCATAGGCGAAGTCTGTTCCAATGCTAGACTAACAATGGCAATGACATATCCAGTACCCTCTGGTAAACTAACATAACCATGGAAAATCACCATGTTTAATGGGAAAACTCACTATAAATGGCCATTTAGCTGGTTGGTGGATGCTTACAATGTGAGGCCCCCAAACGATAGCTAAGTTGGTGCACATAACTCCAATTTCACTATGGTTTATGGTACTTATAACGAACTAGTTAGTGGGGTGAATCTAAACCAACAAACATAACTGGGGGGGGGCACATTGTAGACTAACACTGGTAGACTAACGCTGGTTGGTGGTTGAGCCCTACCCCTCTGAAAAATGATGGAGTGAAAGTCAGTTGGGATGATGACATTCCCAACTGAATGGACAAATAACAAATGTTGGAAACCACCAACCAGATCTTGTCTAATTTTGGATGATTGGAAAATCTGGGGCCCAATTTTAGGAACCTCCAGATGCTGATTTTTGTTTACTGGGGTTGGTGGGTTTAACACATTTGAAAATATGCTCGCCATCTCAACCAATGATCCCGTTACAACAATAAACATTTGAACCCCCCAGCCAGTTTCTATGTTTGAAAATTGAATCTTGAGCTCTATTGGTTAAGCACAATGGGTGTTGACTGTGGGTTTATTGTCTATGAACAATTGGTTGTTGCCTCGGATAAATGCCCATAAAATCCCATAAAGCATACTGCTCCATACTCTGGAATTTGTATTTACAGTACCTCCAAATATAATAAAATGTTCTGAAGTGGAATAATTATAAACTGGTTGGTGGTTTCAACCCCTCTGAAACATATTAGTCAATGGGAAGGATTGTCCCATATATTGTCTATTGATGTCTATTGTGGATATGGAAAATAAAAAAATGTTCCAAACCATCAACCAGTAAACCTACTTGCTACCCATTCACCTTACATCAAATGATCCTCACAACTAAAACCCTGCTCTGAGGCATCGGGGGCCTCTTGCTCGTCTTCGGGCACGACTCCCACAGCACACCTCGCGGCCCGCGCATGGCGGCATGGCGCGATGGCCCGATCATGGGTAGCTTAAGAGACCCGCAAAATAAGGATAGTGTATGTATGTATATATAATATAAAATTAATATAATATAATATGATATTTATCTGTAGTTATATATATAAGTGTTTGATAGATAGACAAACAGCAGACAAACACACATCTGGATAGATAGGCCGATAGATAGACAGACGAACAAACAGACAAATAGATAGATAGATTGATAGATAGACAATGATAGACAAACAATGACTCACAAATATAAAAGATAAAGCAAGATGGGATAAGAAGGACAGGACAGGATAGAAGAGATAAATAATACATAAAAAAACACTAGATAGATGCAGTGATCGATAGAGTGATAAATGGAGTCGTAAATGGTCTGTATGTTAAACTGTGTATTAATTAATTATATATATATACAAAACCAATTACCACCCGCCTCTACCAAAACAAAGGTGACCCAGCAGTGAAACCGTATCATGGTCACCTAACGGGCTGAAGATGGATAGACAAAAGGGACAACCAAACGAGAGACAAAAACTACATATTTCAGTCTATCACCTCTATCAAAGTTTCGCGAAAAACCAGAACAAACTATAAAAACAAACCGTTCATGGTTTTACTGTATAAATCACCATATTGTTTCTCAAATTCCCATTGAAACATATGAAGTCTCATATTAGAAGCACCTATTTCTTCCGGGGGGAACCATGATCTCGCCATCTCCGTTGGGTGTCCAAACACATACTCCTCACCCACCGTCTCAATCTTCGTCACCTAACCGAGTCGCGTCATCATGTGTCATCGCCCCGTTTTCAGGGCCAACAAACATCACTGTGTAGGGAAGTTATGCCATGGATTGCCATGGATGAAACATGACAATTTCCCTCTGGTAAACTAACATAGCTATTGAAAATGGCCATCTATAGTGGATTTACCCATTAAAAATAGTGATTTTCCATAGCTATGTTAGTTTACCAGAGGGTTATTGGGGGGAAAATGGTGGTTTACCCAGTTGACCACCAACTAACTACATAACTATGGATAAACAACATGATCTAAGCCGGGGAAAACATGTGAATTATGGAAAGCATCTGATTCAAGGAAGAAATTTGTGGTTTAGGTAGGGAAAACGTATGGAAAACGCTGATATTCATGAGGGAATTTAACTACCAGCAACACTATCCACCTGGTTTTGTCCCAAAATGGGGGACTTACCTCCAACAAATGGGACTTTTAAGCAGAGAAATATGATATCTAGCAGAGATAAGGTTAGTTTCTGAATCTTTGTGATCATGAGGCTTAGTCTTCATCCATAGGATGTGAAATAGATACCCGCCCTGGTGCCCTATTCATCCTGTGACGAAAAATTGGAGTTTGGCTGACATGATTCACCACCAGCACGTGGCACGAAGATACCCATGGCCCATGTAAGTTTGAACATGTGGAAAACTCACAAGTCACCATTTAAGTGTATCATTTTCCGAATGGGAAACCGTGGGTCTTCATGTGGTTTCCACATCTTTTTCTATCTTCACCCTAGGGTAAACAGTCATGGCATATATCCAACTTGTTAAAGACACGCGCAGTTTTTCATGGCGCTTCCACCCCCGTGGCCCTTCGTGGCCCTTCGCCGGAAGGGCTGCCACACCGCATGTTCGGCGCAAATCAAATCCATCATCGTAAACCTCGGCTGGGCTGGTAATACGCTTGATGGGGCCCTATATGGTGAAATGTTCTGGTTGGTGGTTGAGCCCTACCCCTCTGAAAAATGATGGAGTGAAAGTCAGTTGGGATCATGACATTCCCAATCCCATATGCTCCATGTATGGTATATTCACCTACATTTGGGTGATTTTTAGGGCAAATGTTAGTAAATATTCCATACATGGAGCATATGGGAATATATGGAAAAATAAACATGTTCCAAAGCACCAACCAGTGCTTGTTGGTTTAGTTTCACCCCATGAAATACCAAAAAGAGATCTCTAGAGTTACATCCCCCTAATCAACCCCTAGGTTACCCAAGTTATACAACCGTGTAATCGTTCGGACCCACCTGATGGATACATATGGATGTCTGCGGCTGAAATTCTTGATGATATCAAATGTTTTTTTCAATAACGGGGAATAAAACGTACCTGGATCTCCCACCCTTGCATTTTGTCAGGACTTGGTCTCGGGGTTGAAAATTTTAGGCCCCAGAAATGAAAAATGACCCTAATCCCAATTTTAGACCCTGGCACTTCTGGGGTTTCGGTGTTTATTGGCATTTTTGCACCTGATCCCATGCTGATCCAGCCTGTTTGCTTGACATCGATGCTGTGGAATATTGGGAAGAAACACAAAAACTGATGAATACGATATGCACACCCCAAAAAAGAGTGTCCGGGTTACAATCTGTTCGTCAAAGTTAATCAAAGACTACATACGTTTTAGGTCGATCAATGATGGCTATGAGTTCCCTCACAGGAGACCCATGGGGTTTCTACAAAAAAAAACATTGAGATTCAATACATGAAGTTTCTTCAAAATAAACGCATGAAGTTTCTTCAGAAAGCTTCGTGATGGACTCATGAAGTTTCTACATAGTAGTTGACGTTGTTCATGAAGTTTCTCCCAAATAGATCCATGAAGTTTCTTAAACATACTTAAACCGTGCTATGGCATGAGGTCCCAAAACCCAGAAATTTCCGCCACTGATTTTTCTCGTGAATAAGGAAATTTGAAAAACTGCGCATGAAGTTTTAGAATCCTCATTTATGAAGTTTCTTCATCCCTGACCCACAGCTGGATTATGACGTTTTTGGCTACTCCCCATTCATGAAGTTTTGATGCCTGACACGCAATTGGAATTCTTCATGAAGATTTTCAACAATCTTCATGGTGTTTTACCATCCCCATTATGTTCATGAGGTTTTTCATCCCTGGCTTCATGAAAAACCTTCATGCATTGAAACCCCATGAAGTTTTTGATATGCATAGATGGAGGATCCTGGTCATGAAGTCTTTTTGCTGCATGTGTGCCTGCCTTATCATAATTTCAAAACCTCGGCCATGAAGTCTTGAGGAAGATATTGTCGAGGAAGTTTCGAGGGATCACATGTTTTTTTTTCACAGAAATATAAATGCAGAGGGTGGGTATCATGCTAAAAGAAATGAAAACACAAAAAACGACCTTAGTATCAGATTCAGACCCAGATTTGAAAGGTCGGTTTTTCCATGAGGTCCTGAAATTGTACGTGCTCAGGGGGTTGCAGGTATGAATAAGTCAATCATAAGTCCTAATATAGGTGTTTTATCTACAGCATCGTTGATCTAGAGATTTAATGAGACTAACCTACAACACCTTCCCTTTATCAACTAGGGGCTAGCTCCACCTTTATCTATCTATCCATCAACAGCTGGAGAGCCATCCATCGGACGCCAGGACTCCCCACGTGCTGTTCAAGAACTCCATCAACTTTTCAGCTCCCAGATGTCGAGCCTCGGAAAACGATGGCGTTCGAGAAGGCGTTCGAGAAGTTCGAGAAAGGAAAAGGGAAAGACGATGCTAGCAATGACATATCCAGTACCCTCTGGTAAACTAATATAACTATGGAAAATCACCATTTTCAATGGGAAAACTCACTATAAATGGCCATTTAGCTGGTTGGTGGTTGAGCCCTACCCCTCTGAAAAATGATGGAGTGAGTTCGTCAGTTGGGGTTATGACATTCCTAACTGAATGGAAAAAAAATCATGTTCCAAACCACCAACCAGGTAGCAATGACATATCCAGTTAATCTCTATCCGATGATGGCTGTTTCCTCACTTATATACGAGAAACTTGAAAACAAAGAAGGATTTCCCCTTGCCTCGTGGTGAGAGCAAAGGTTTATACATGTTTATACTGATTATGTCCACATGAAGTTTTGAGAGGGTACAGTAAGTTTGAAAGGGTGTAGTAAGTTTGAGAGGGTACTGTCAAGTGGGGTTACCATTCAAGAACAACCAACTCCAACAGCCGAGACAGTAGAAAATTGAGCTAGTGATCAGCAAATCCATGGTTTTAAGATACTATAGTTTAAGGCAGTTGCACCCTTCGGTGTCCTCAAACGTGGCAAAAATACGGAAATCTCCTAAAACATGGAGGTTTCTAGCTGGGAACATCATCGAACTAAATGGGGGATTGTCAAGCAAACCACGTTTGATGACACCGGAGGCTACGGCAGTTGTGCTCGCCAGCTTCTGAAAAACTGACCACTCTGAGTCGTGGTGATTTTTTTCAGTATGGCTAAGCTTAGGGCATCCTTAGACAACATCTGGAACAAATAGAGGGGCCGATGAAGGATTTATGGATATTTCTGGTGGATCTACCCTATCTGGTAAATTAACAGTTCGACCCTGCCAGTTGTCGGGGTTGAAAGATTAGTTTCCTCTAAAAATTGGTGATTTTCAGGGTCGAACTGTTAATTTTCTGGTGGATCTATTTAGAGTCATGAAGTTCTCAACCAGCCGCAGGGACTCTTGGGCATCTGTCAGGGGTCGGTTCCGCGATCCTCCGTGACTGCGATGTGTGAAACGGAGTTGAGTCGGAATCCCACCGAATCAACCTGCAATTCAGTGGCGAGAAATCATATCCTATCAATGTGAGGCCCCCGTTCGATAGCTAAGTTGGTACACATAACTCCAATTTCACTATGGTTTATGCTACTTATAACGAACTAGTTAAACCAACTTATAGCTGGGGGAGGCCACATTGTAATCCTATCTCACATGTGACTGTCATGTTCGTAGAGTGGCATTCAAAGGCACCTAGCCACCTCTGGCCGTTCATTCCATTTGGTGTGTGGTTAGAAAAAACACGGTCGGCTGCTGCCAGAACATGGTATGAACATTGTATGAATCGCAATTTCCCAACATGTTATAATGATTTTCACATTCCCAGTCCTAAAAGCTCCTAACAAAAACAGAAAACTGACTTAGATATCATAATAATGTGGTTAATGACTTTAATAATATAATATCAATTTCCATATCAATGGCTGGTATCATAATATGGTTAACTGTCAGCTGGTTCGGTCAAGATACCAGCCATTTTCCAACCCACTTGGTCTCCCCAGTAGGTGCCCGGACGTGGTCGTCGAAATTTTCGACCATCACGAAGAGAATGGACCTGGCAGCGGAGCGAAGAGAATGTGGGCGCAAAAACAGTTAAGTTTAGAAAGTATACAATGTGGTGACCCCCTCAGTTATTATAAACCCCAATAACTACAGCTATATCCACCATAAACCATAGTTAACAAAGTTATAAACAAACTTAGCTATCTTGGGGGCCCCACATTGTATGGTAGTATATTCCATGGTACTATATTTCAGAATAGTTCAATATTCACATGTATCAACATTCAGCATAGTATATAATCAGTATAAATATATGTATATATATACATATGTAATGTGACCTATGGTAGTATATTCCCATGAATTTAGTAAGTGAAGCATAATATAGCCCAGTTGTGTATTGTGTATTGTGTTTATGTTTTTTGATGTGGTAAACCCCATAATGAACAACTACCATTTGGGCATGGTTTCAATCTTTCAATGCAAACCATCAACATGGTGATGTTGGGCATGGTTGATTGTTAGGTTTACCACACTAGGTGAGTTATGTTTTATGCTAGAGACAACTATACTTAATGGAATTTAGAAGTCAACTTAGAACTGGGGGGGCACCTTGTATGAATGGTGACTTGCAATGAGCTCAGCTGACGAATATGTGTGACTGGGGATCATCACCTGACCGACCAGTACTGGATTGGAAATGCAGTGACTCAGAATTCCCTTTCAATGGCTATGAATAGCTATGAAAAAAAAAGGTCCCAGTAGAATGAAACGTCGATAAAAAATCCTTGCAATCTTTAGCTAATTGGTGGTACACCTACCCCCCTGAAAAATATGAGTTCGTCAGATTGGATCATCATCCCAACTATTGGGGAAAATAAAAAACACTTAGTTGGAACATTTTTTATTTTCCAACCATCAATATAGAAAAAGGCTAACTGGATCATCATCCCAAATCACCACCCAGTTAGCCTTTTTCTTCTAGCCTGGTTCAAAAGCAGAACTGTCCATTGGGATCACCAGGAATCAATATCATGATCCCAGGTAGTACAATGAGGGGCCCCACATAGTTATGTTTGTTGGTTTATAAAGCCCATTAACTATCATTAACTACAGTTATAGGTATCATAAAGCATAGTTATTGAAGTTATGTGCACCAACTTAGCTATCGTTTGGGGGTTGTAGAAATGTATATTTTCTTTGTTTTTTTTTATCAGTTCTATAACATGTTTTCGTGGAGACTGCTGGTTTTATGTCGTATCATAGAAACATGCTCAAGGTCATGCCGGAAGTCCTGCGTTGGAAAAATAAAACATGAAAGTCAGTTGGGATTATTATTCTCAACTGAATGGAAAAATAACAAATGTTCCAAACCACCAACCAGCTATATATAGTTATAGGTATCAAAAACTATAATTATTGAAATTATAAACCAACTTAGCTATCGTTTGGGGACCCCACATTGTATGGAAAGTACGCCATATTGTCTCAAACAATCCGCTATAAACGCCTTTTTTTGAGCGACATAGTTGCTAAAGACTGACATAATATTGGTCTCTCAAGGGAGTCGCCAATACAATGCCTGGGTCTTCAAATCAAACACTTTGGTATGTTGTGATGAGTTGCAAAGTGAAGCATCCACGGACAACCATTGGGATATGATATTGACAGATATCTATATGGAGTGGAGGTGACAACCTGAAAACATCCAGCGCCCAGATAAGACCCCCACAACATCTCACTGTTGATGGAGAGTAAGATCTTGGTTGCGCCTGGTCCTTAAATCACCTCAAAACAGGTTTTGAACCCCAAGAATAGCAGCTATTGAGTCTATCTATATACAATATACACACACACAGAACACTGATTTCCTGCAATCTCCTTTCCCGAAGATTTTGCAAATATCATGATTTTGTATCTGTATATATTACATATCTATCTATCCATCCATCCATATCAGTCCGCCTATCTGGCTGGATCTCTATATCATATATATATATATATGTGTGTGTACTGCTACTTGTGTTTATCTATCTATGCATCTATCCAACCTATCTATTTATCCCTTCATTTATACATCTACACAAGCTCTATCCTATTCTCTATCTTATCTATTCGATGGTTGGGAAACTCTATTCGTAGCTCCAACTGGTTCCCCATTGAATAGGGAATATCTAGGGAATATGAATACCCCTAGCTCCTTAGTTCCCTCCTAACCACGCCATCCCCGGAACTACTTGGACGCCCCGGACGCTTGTTGCTTTTGCTCCGCGATGACGGCACCAGGGTCTTGCGGAGCTGGGGCTCTTGGCGAGCTGGGAAGGGTGGGTTTACACCGGGGGCGTCTTAAAAATGGGGGAAACCAACGTATACCAGTAGTACCGCGCAAGGCGGCGGCGGAAGTTTCAAACATAGGAAACCTATAGGAGAGGTTGGTTGTTGTGAATCAGGGATGGCAGAGCGAAGCCACTGATGGAGCGAAAGGTGATTGATCTCTCTCACTATTTCTCTCTCTTTCTCTGACTATCTACCTACCTACCTACCTATCTATCTATCTATCTATCTTTCTATCTATCTCTCTTTCATCTAATTGCCTAGCTATCTTTCTATATCTATCTACCTACCTACCTACCTACCTATCTATCTCTCTCTCTCTCTCTCCTTCATCTGTCTAGCTGTCTACCTGTCTATCTGTGGTGCAGTGTCATTGAGTGTAATGTAGTGTAGTGTAATGTAGTGTGGTGTAGTGGAGTGTAGTGGAATGTAGTGTAGTGTAGTGTAGTGTAATGTAGTGTACTGTAATTTAGTGTAGTGTAATTTAGTATAGTGGAGTGTAGTGGAGTGTAGTTGTGTAGTTGTAGTTGTAGTTGTAGTGAAGTGGGGTGTAGTGTAGTGTAATGTAGTGAAGTGTAGCGGAAGGTAGTGTAGTGTAGTGGAAGGTAGTGTAGTGTAGTGAAGTGTAGTGTAATGTAGTGAAGTGTAGTGTAATTTAGTGTGGTGAAGTGTAGTGGAGTGTAGTGTAATGTAGTGTAGTGTAATTTAGTGTAGTGGGGTGTAGTTGTGCATTTGTATTTGTAGTTGTAGTGTAGTGGAGTGTAGTGTAGTGTAATGTAGTGAAGTGTAGTGGAAGGTAGTGTAGTGTAGTGTAATGTAGTGGAGAGTAGTGTAGTGTAATGTAGTGTAGTGTAGTGAAATTTAGTGTAGTGGAGGGTAGTGGAGTGTAGTTGTGTAGCTGTAGTGTAGTGGAGTGTAGTGAAGTGTAGTGGAAGGTAGTGTAGTGTAGTGTAATGTAGTGTAGTGTAGTGTAATGTAGTGAAGTGTAGTGGAAGGTAGTGTAGTGTAGTGTAATGTAGTGGAGTGTAATGTAGTGTAATGTAGTGTAGTGTAATTTAGTGTAGTGGAGCGTAGTGGAGTGTAGTTGTGTAGGTGTAGTGGAGTGTAGTGTAGTGTAGCGAAGTGTAATTTAGTGTAGTGGAGTGTAGTGGAGTGTAGTGGAGTGTAGTGGAGTGTAGTAGTGTAGTAGTGTAGTTGTAGTTGTAGTTGTAGTTGTAGTGTAGTGGAGTGTAGTGTAGTGTAGTGGAAGGTACTGTAGTGTAGTGTGATGTAGTGGAGTGTAGTGTAGTGTAATGGTGTAGTGGAGTTGTAGTGTAGTGGAGTGTAGTGTAGTGGAGTGTAGTGAAGTGTAGTGGAAGGTAGTGTAGTGTAGTGTAATGTAGTGTAGTGAAGCGAAGCGAGCGACATCTGAACCTCCAAAAGTGGTCCGAACCCCCTAGTGTTTTTAACATTTTAACTTCCAAATGTGCTTCGCGCCACAACGGCGTGCACTTTTTCGAGATCTGAACTTCCAAAAGTGGTCCGAACCCGAGTGTTTTTAACATTTTAACTTCCAAATGTGCTTCGCGCCACAACGGCGTGCACTTTTTCAAGATCTGAACTTCCAAAAGTCGTCCGACACTGATGTGTTTTGCGCATTTTGACCTCCAAATGTGCTTCGCGCCACAACGGCGTGCACTTTTTCGACATCGCAACTTCCAAAAGTCGTCCGACACTGAAATGCTTTGCACATTTTGACCTCCAAATGTGCTTCGCGCCACAACGGCGTGCACTTTTTCGACATCTCAACTTCCAAAAGTGGTCCGAGAATGGTGTACATTTTGACTTGGAAATGTGCTTCGCGCCACAACGGCGTGCACTTTTTCGACATCTCAACTTCCAAAAGTGGTCCGAGAATGGTGTGTTTTGTACATTTTGACTTCCAAATGTGCTTCGCGCCACAACGGCGTGCAACTTTTCATCTCTCCTCTGGCCAGATGGCTCCGCACCCGCCGCTTTAGCGAGCCTACTTTTCGACCCCCCGGAGCCACAAATCATTGGAAAAACACAGTGAATCGCGACTTTCCTACCTTTTCGCGCATCTCCATCTTCTTTCTTCTTACTCTTTCTCTTCTACTCTTTTCTCTTCTGATCTTTCTCTTCTCTCTGCCTCTGCCCTGCTCTGCTTTTCATCTGTCCATATTGTCGGAAGTTTGACTTCTAAACTTCCTTCTCTATATATATATTTATATATATATATCTAGATCTATATCTAAATATATGGAAATATATGAAAATCATTGAAAATTAGCTGGTTGGTGGTTGAGCCCTACCCCTCGGAAAAATGAGCGAGTTCGTCCATTGGGATTATGACATTCCCAACTGAATGGAAAAATATAATTCATGTTCCAAACCACAAACCAGAATAAGAATTAGTCATGTTGAAGGCAAAACCAATAGTTTTATGGTTTTGGATCCATAATCAATCAATATAAAAGTGCATCCTAATCATTAGTCGTTTAAATATGTTGAAATGGGGAAATCAATGGTTTTTGGGGTCCCCCAGTTTAAGAAACCTCAATGCGGGTGTAACCTGCAATATAGGGAATGCAAGGGATATTCACAAACCAAGCAGTTTGGCACTATTGGATACCCTTGCAACAGACCTGCGACGGTCATCACCACCAAGCCGGCGGAACAGGCAATGATCACCCATGAATTTCCAGTCAAGAAGATCTGGAAAGATGTCAGTGCGTACTCAGCTGGAGACGTCACAGCTGTGAGGTTGTAATAAACCAAAATTCCAATGGCGAAAATGCACGAGACCAAGGACACCAAGCTAGGACGAAACGCCGCGTATGTCCCAATCGAAGAGAAGAGGGGATACATATTGTTCCATTTAGCCAATGACATGGAGGAAGTGACCTCATCAAGGTTCATCTGGAAAATCTCGAGGGATGACAGCCAGGTCTTCGCGAGGTTGCTATCATTTGCCCACATGGGCTTGGCTGAAAACAGAATACCCAACCTTTGATTTGTATATAATGTTCCCTCTTATTCTGCCATTTTGGGGGCATACTAACCATTTTCAGACACACTCCATTGAAGATTGAATGATATTGATGCTTGTATCCCAACAAAAATTAATCAATTCTGATCATTTTTCCATGTTTTGCCTTGTTACAATGTAAAACCATTGATAGATGGGTTGCCCATTAAAGTCTCCATTTGCATATATATATAATCTATATCTATATCTAAATATATATATATATATACATTCCTTAAAGGTTGGGGAATAAGTACACAGGGTTAGCCTTTAACCCTCACTTCCGCAGATACGCTCACTCTTTTTTCTTTCACCATTCTCTAACGTCTTCCAACCTGTATTCCTACAGGATAATGCATTGGGTATGCCTATAGATCTATCAGCCCTGCTGATGGCGGCATCCTGTTTCAGTCAGCTTAAGATAACTGGATCCAATCCAGATATCTATTCGCACCCGACTGGAACAGTGGCCCCTCCAATCTATAGGTATTCACAGCTTCCTGTGCATAGACCCCATCTGCAGCGCAGACTTCAAGTTATAAGGGAACCCCACAGGGGACTTGATAACAGGGTGGGTCAAAATCCCTGATTTAGGGAGGGCAAGGAAAACAATGCTGCTATTTTGGGTCAATATTTACTTGAGCCAAAATTGGCATTGGTTTTACCTTATTAAACCAACCACCAAGGAATGACCACTGTCCACCCAAGCCTGCCAAACACTAGACAGTCATATGTTAGACAGGAGATTTCCAACCTACCCACCTTTGATGACACCGGATAATCACCCCGCCAGGTCCCCAGCTCTTCAACATCGGCAGGATGACATGAAAGGGTACCTAACGTGGCGTCACTGGTGGAAGCAACCCCCTGAAATCTGAAGAAAATGTGAAAGCCATAACTTGGGTTACCTTTGAAAGTCCAATGGTTATCATCTTATATCATTTTGCCCATTGAAAATATATGAACATCATTGAAAATTAGCTGGTTGGTGGTATACCTACCCCTCTGAAAAATATGAAAGTCAGTTGGAATTATGAAATTCCCAACTGAATGGACAAATATAAAAATGTTCCAAACCACCAACCACGAAAGTCATTGGGGATTATCATCCCAATTATCCGATTTGTATGGTTAAGAAATTCCCATTTGTATGGTTGAAACAAGAGATGTCCCAAATCTACCAGTGAAGGAACCCATCAGAGATACGATCGGTGTGTTTCTTTTTCGGAAAAACTTGCTAAAAAAACTGTTTCATGCTAAAATTCACATGCATGTATCTGGGTAAATTACAATATTTCACTAACAGGAATTAAGGCCATTTGGGGATGATTTCCCTTATTTGCCATGATTCCAGTGAGGTCGCAGTGAGGTCATTATAATTTACCCAGATGTAACGTCTTATATAATTACTAACACAAGTTTGTTTTTTTTGTCAACTATGATAATGACCGGCTCAACATTCATCTTTGATGTCTGACGCAACACATCTCCTGATCATTGTGATCATTGTGTCAGGTCGTTGTGGGACTTGGAGGGACACCTGGTGATACTTTGAAACCAACGAAGCAGCTGTAGAAATTGTAGGTAGCGACTTGGATTGATGAAAAAACAACACAGTGCATATGTGTTTTTTGCTTGGTGCTAGATGGTGCTTGTGTGTACTCATTATACTGTTGGGTGTAGGCTTGTAAACCACTTGTCACCAGTCTGCAACAATCAATACCAACCGATGTGAATAAAACTGTTACACATACACATATGTTCAATATGCTTGCTGTCTGCGCAAGACCAACTCGCAACATTCCGAACGTAAGATCAAACAATATTTTGTTGCGGTGAAATAGTAAACTATCCAACTTTGTGTGCCCTAGTTAGTCTTTATCCGTTTACCCTTTTGTTCATCTATCTTTGTGTCTTTTTCTTTGTTCGCACCTCGTCCAATCTTAAACACAGACCGCAAACCAAGGTTTACCAAACTAAACATTGAAGAAAATGCTATGTCCCCATGCTGGTTGCTGCTTCAAAATATACATCTGAACCATCAGGCAATGTGGGACCCCCAAACCATAGCTAAGTTGGTGCACATAACTTGAATAACTATGCTTTATGATATTATCATACCTATAACTCTAGTATTCATGGGGTGTAGGAACCAGGAAACATAACTGGGGGGGGCACATTGTACCAAGCACTTTCACCGAGCTTGGACCCGGCGCACCATGTACTCCAAGATGTGGAAAATCCGCTTCGTCGCCGCTTGCCTCAGGGCAGATCCAATGTGCAACGTGATGCACCAGGTTGTTTGCTACATAGCCTCTGGTCGTTTAACAGAGCTACGGACAGTGACCCATAGAAATTGATTATAGAAATATATTGAAATTATGTTCTGCCTCTTAAAAACATCTTATTTTCCATGGCTAATTAGCTACATGAAAAAAAATCCAGGCTAAGTTGTTTTGCTAATTCTGGGACAACTCTATGCCAGAGTTGAACGTTCGGTCGTATGGGGACGATTTCCCCTATAGGATCACCAAATAAATTAGATTCAAACTGCTGGGTTTATAGTAGGTTTATCGGTTACTAATAACTGATTGGTGGTGCAATGTGCCCATCTTGAAAAATATGAGTTCATCAGTTGGGATGGATTCTCCCATATATGAAATGGAAAATAAAAATCATGTTTGAAACCACCAAACAGTAATAAGTACTAGCTAAATGAGATTATGAACCAACAAACGCAACTGGAGGCACCAGCTTGTGTATATTTCTGGGTAACCTTCATAGAATTCACAAAACAGCAAACATGCGTATGGTACCCTGGTGAACACCAGGGTAGAGCTGAAAAAAACTGGATCTTCGTCCCGAAAGAAATATGGTACAATGTGAGGCCCCCAAGGTAGCTAAGTTGGCGCACATAACTCCAATAACTATGGTTTATGGTACTTATAACGAACCAGTTACTGGGGCGAATCTAAACCAACAAACATCACTGGGGAGGCCACATTGTATGGTAGATTTTGAATGGTTTTGACGTTCCCAAATGATTTTTGTTGCGCTGGTTTCCCTTACTTAGCCGAGATTGACAAATGAAGTTGCTAAAGAAATGCACCTCAGACATCTGGGGCCGGTCTTGGGTTGAGATCATTGGGAAGTCAAAGAATGGCAAAAACTCAACATGACAACGCAAGCCCCATCTATGGAATACGGGGTATGAAGCCATAGAAGTCAATGAAGATAGGCTAAAAACGGTTAAGATATGTTGATATGATATAGGAATGTTAAACAGAAAGCAAAGACATGCGGACATTATGTACGTGGTACGAGTACTGACTCATTTTCTCCTGGACCACAATGCACAAAAAATATCAGAAAAAGCGGAAGGAAACGCTCGAAATATAACAATCATGTTTTTCCCCACTTGTAGTTTCTGTGAAAATAGGCTAGCCCTAAATTACAGTAATCATCGTGTTCATGTTCCTTTTAAAAATGTGATTTGACGATTCTGACTGTGTTGTTTTTTTCCGGTGGAGAACAAAAAAAATACGTGTTGAGATCCCGACTGTTCTTGATCATAGAAGAACTTGGACCTCTGCCCCTTTTCCATAAAGAACCTTGGAGGATCATCAGGTCAATGACCATTTCAGGATCCTAGATTGAAGGTACCTACCATATATATAAGGCCTATGTAAGGCCTATGTAGGGGAATATACCCACAAAATATGGCCTTATATGGTACAGTACCTCCATTTTAGGATCCTGGATTTCCCATTGATCAGGGCTCTTCAGAAGTTTACGACACAAACATTGCCATAGAAACTGAAGGATCATTACTGCACATATGCATCCGATGGACCAAATCTACAGCGGCTATTGATTTTTTTTTCGGATCATTCTGGTTCCAAAACACGTCCTGAGATCGATCAGAATTAGGTTGTCCAAAAATAGGGTATCCCGATTTCCAGGGTTAATACATATAATATATAAATATGTATATATATATATATAATAAATGTTCCGCATTCAACTTCGCAACTTTGGGTATCCATCATGTTTGGACAAACCAGATGCATCTGGTGTCTGTTCCAACGCAGGACTTCCGGCATGACAAGGTCAGCATGTTTCTATGATACGACATAAAACCAGCAGTCTAAACGAAAACATGTTATAGACTGAAAGACAAAATCAAAGAAAATCAACATTTCTACAATGTCGGGCCCCCGTTTACGATAGCGTTCAGTTGGTGCACATAACTTCAATTTCACCATGGTTTATGACACCTATAACTACGTATAGTATTCATGGGGTGAATCTAAACCAACAAAGATAACTATGGGGGCCCCACTTTTTGTCACTCGCATCTCAGAAAATGCAGTCATGGACTAATCATGGACTGGTGAGTCCCCCGCCCTTGACCAAACCCATCCTGAAAACCCCCTCCATGAAGACAAAGGTAAACCACAGGCCGCGTGGGAACAACTGTTAGGTTTAGTCTTTTCCTATGTTTTCTTGTAATGTTCTTTAAACATAGATGCGAGCTATGAAAAAGGTAACTAACTATATATTATATAGTTATATAGTCATCCGAGTAAATGCCAAACCCCAACAATAATGTCCTTTTAGAAAAAATGGAGAGGCCGGTTTGGTATACCATCTATCATCATTTACCTGTTGTTAAAGGGGTTTCTTCAAGCCCCGCTATTAATCTGGTTGGTGGTATACCTACCCCTCTGAAAAATATGAGTTCGTCAGTTGGGATGATTATTCCCAACTGAATGGAAAGTCATAAAATTCATGTTCCAGTCACCACCAACCAGAATAGTATATATACACATATAATAATCATATATATATATACATATTATATAAATATATCTATCCCATTGAATCCCATAAATCACCATTTTTGTTCCAAACCACCAACCAGTTAATCAACGAATCGGAACCATGTGCTGAACCTTGGAACCTGCAAAAATAAAAACATAGTAACATAACTCAATTCTCCAGTCGTAATGGATGTTCCATTGGGAAAATAAACACTCATTGGCAAATACACAACTACAATGTGAGGCCCCCGTAAGATAGCTAAGTTGGTTTATAGCTCCAATTTCACTATGGTTTATGGTACGCAAATAACAAACTAGTTACTGGGGCGAATCTAAACCAACAAACATAACTATGGTGGCCCCACATTGGTTCTTTACCCCCCCCCATATTTCTTGATGATTTCCTCAGCGAACTAGACATTAATGTTGGGAGAAAAAATCCAGCGAACTAGGCCACGTGGTTATGACACCGGAGTTTGATTTTCCATTCAGAACCAGTCGTCATCATGGGTGATTAAATCAACCATAGTGGGGGTGTAATGGTGATATTTTGCAATCTATGAATCAGTACTGGCCATTAGTATTGGCCACTAGTGACCATCGAAGTGCTCGAAACCATTGCTTCCCCATTGTCTATCGTATACCTTACCCATCCCTTAGCCAGAAATTAGCCATTGAAGTGTATTCATAACCATTGAAGTGTATTATCCATTCAAAACCATTTATGAACCATTATCCATGGTTTTCCCTTGAAAATACCTATCCTTTACATTCCTTTACCCGTTCCCTCAGCAACGCCCCGCGGCCCGCATCGCAACGCATCGCGGCGCGCGAGGGACTTTCGCCGGCCCGCCAGCAAGGTCACGAAGAAGAGGATGGCGGCCTCATTGATCTACACGAAGACATGAGGATATCAAGGGGATCAAAGAAAATGGACCATTGGTGGTTATAATGGTTATAATGGTTATAATGGTTATAATGGTTATAATGGTTATAAACTATTATGGTTACAATGGTTAATAACCTGTTATAAACTTATCTGGTTGGTGGTATACCTACTCCTCTGAAAAATATTAGTCAAATGGGAGTATTGTCTCATATATATCATATATTGTGGAAAATAACATTAATGTTCCAAAGCACCAACCAGAAATGAACCATTCATGGTTGATTTACCTATGAAAAAAGTGGTGATTGTCCAAAGCTATGCTCATGTACTAGAGGGTAACTGTTACAGATGGACATATTTTACATATGCTCACTATGTTGTACCGTTTAACTGCACACAATAAGTAATAGAGATTTGGTCGATAGAAAGTCGGGATGTGACCAATAAACATTTAAATTTGAAGTAGCTGGTGAGTATCCATGTTTTGGATACTCACCGGCTACAAGGATGGACCCATGACATTTCAGTGGCCTATCTATATCCGTCCAGACAAGACAAGAATAAAACAAGAAGAGATTAGATAAGATTAGACGTCCACCCATCATGCACATTTGAACATCGCTGTAGTGGACATCCACCTCACTGCACAAGCGCTCCACTAGAGTCACTAGATCTGTCTTCCAATGCAAGCTGTTGCACGGATTTTCCACTGTGACAAGTCTTCCTTTGGAAACACAATGTAAAATGACTCCTCAAACATCTCGTTTGCGAGCTCAACTCGACGTCTTTGAACGTGTGCCAACGCCCGGGCCTTCATTATTCGCTTATTTGAAGACTCGGCATTGTCTCTGTCTGCGTGGAAATGAAAGCTGTTTGTGAGCCTCTTCAGCTTTGCCGCTCGACTGTTTACCGTGTCGCTTGGTATTTTTAAGGGAGTCCTGAAGAGGCATTTTATGCGGAAATTTACATGGAAAACGCGGTGGGCCAGAGTGAGCACCTCGATCAAACACCGGCCTTAACTCCTACCGTAAGAAGCAGTCAGTGTGGACACACTGTTTGGGGAACAACAACATAGTGTGTCAACTGCTTTCCATAATCCAAAGTCGGAGTCATCTCGCGCTTCAGCTATGTACACGCATGTGTTATGTTATGATTGCCCTCTGGTAAATTAACATAACAATGGAAAGATCCACCATTTTATAGCGAAAATCACCTATTTCGACTGGGCCATGGCTTCAATAGCTACGTTAGTCATAACCAGAGGGTATATCCATCAATATCCAGGAAAATTATCCCATGATTATCCCATTATCATCCCATCAGTAAACCATATAACCATATTAAACCAGAGGGTATGTAACAGAATCTCATCCTCATACTGAAATGGGCCCCCAATAGATCCAAGACGTCCCACCAGTGTTTCGCCCCTAGATCTCAGGGTATCGGTGGCTGTCCCAAATATTCAATGGGAATGACTCAGGATCCAATACATGGAGGTACGTAAACGTACCATATTTTTGGCCATATGTTCTGGGGATATTCCCTGAAATTTAGGCCTGAACAAAATAGGCCAAACATATATGGGATTGGTACCTCCAATGAATCGGATCCTGAAATGGCCATTGAAATATTCATGGCTTCATCATTTCACTGCTGAAACGGCTGTTCAACAAACGGGGTCTAGCCATGTTCAAACAATCCCAGAATGCGAAACTGTGACATCTTCTTCCGCGTTGTCAGACGGAGAGATCAACCCACCTTGGGGGGATATGGACATTGCCAAAAAATGCTAAAAACAGGATGATTTCTCCCCTAGATCTGGGCATGTACAAGATCCTGTTCCGTAGTTAGCTAAGTATAGCTAAGTTATAAAGCAGAAGTGGCTGAAGCAGGTCTTATGGTACAGTAGATATACCTATAGTCTGAAATATGGGTTGATAAACCAACTTACAACTGGGGAGCACCAGTTTGTATAATTCCCAAGGACAACATATTTGGGGATGATTCTCCCATTCCTAACCATACAATGTGGGGCCCCGTAGTTATGTTTGTTGGTTTATAAACCCCATGAATACTATAGTTATATCCACCATAAACAGGAATTAACCAAGTTATGTTATAAACCAACTTAGCTATCTAGGGGGCCCCACATTGTATGGTGACGTCGGACAGGGGGTCAGGGTTTGGTCACTCTTTTGTTCTACCCAGATAATATCCGATCGTTCTTTGTTCATTTATATTCCTATCAAATATTCCCCTTCATATCCCGATGATGTCCTCAAATTTCGTTTATTCAACCATCTACATGAATGTCTAAATCAGAAATAAACCATGTTTAAGAGAATCTGGGCAAATTTAACTATATCTATCATTATTTACCTGAAAAGTTCGGCCGGTTACCTGCTTCCCCTTACTATGAGTGAGGTCACAGTGAGGTCACTAGAATTTGCCCAAATAGCCATATACTGTATCCATGTGTATATATATATGTGATATATATATCCACATTATAAAATATATATATATGTATATATAAATACAAATACATTTTAATATATATATATATACACCATATATCGATAAATCCTCCATAAAAAGGCGCCTTTGTATATTTAATACAGGTCTCACAACAGGTCTCACCTAGTCCACTGGTGTCCACTGGTGTCCACTGGAGTGCACTGGGAAGCGCAGGCTGTAATCCAAACGTCTTGCTCGTGGAAATGTAACCGCCTCATAGCTTTGGTCCCGCTTCGTGTCAACGGCTAGGGACAGGATGATTTTATATTGAAACAAACCATGGACAGTGCGGGTACGCAATTTTGGGAAAACGTTGCATTGTGAGGATCTGATACTTGAATGGATGATTTTTTGAAGGAAAATCGACTGCAAACAATGGTTTTCACTGTTAAGTCTAGAGTCAGTGGGTTCGATCAAATTTTCAACACTGAACCACTTCTGCATGGCCACACAGCAACAATTTAAGACGCGGTTTGGCATTGTTTGGGGCTAGATATATTGGCATAGTTGGATCACTTCCCCCAACTATTGTTGGTATCATACTGGTTGGTGGTTGAGCCCTACCCCTCTGAAAAATATGAGTTCCTCAGTTGGGATGATGAAATTCCCAATATATGGAAAGTCAAACAAATCATGTTCCAAACCACCAACCCCAGATTGGTATATGTTGGAACAATATCATAGTTGATACCAATATTGTTGAGAATAGTTGATACTACAATATCCCAATACCCAATACTTGGTAGACCTATGGTATCAATTGTTGGATATACCCTCCAGTAAATTAACATAGACCCTGCCAGTTGTCGGGGTTGGAAGACTAGTGTGACTAGTTTCCACTATAAATTGGTCATTTTCAGGGTCTATGCTAATTTACCAGAGGGTAATTTCCAGGGTCTATGTTGTTTGGGAAATGGGCGAAATGGGCGGTTTGAAACGGGGTCGCTTCGGCCGAGCCTTGCACTTTTTTTCAACGAAAAAAGGGCCCAAAGAAGAATCTCCCAACTCTCTGCGTGGTGGTGCTCCATCGTTTTTTGTTGGTTTATACCCTCTGGTAAACTAACATAAGTATGGAAAATCACCATGTTCAATGGGACAAAGTTCGTTATACCTACAAAGTTGGGCTCCCCAGTTATGTTTGTTGGTTTATACACCCCATGAATACTATAGTTATAGGTATCATAAAAATACTATAGTTATAGGTATCATAAATCATAGTTATTGAAGTTATAAACCAACTTAGCTATCGAACGGGGGCCCGACATTGTAGGGTTTTGTAGTACTTAGATTTTATGACACCCTTAATTATACCTTTATAACAAAATATCAGAATGATTAAAACTAACTATATATGTTGTCATCAAAATAATCAATGTGAACAACATGAAATTCCATATTTGATCTAATATTTCTCCATCATCATCCTGTTTTTTTTTGGTCAGCAGTTGTCGTCAGCAGTTTTCGTGGTGACGCCAAGTCACTGAGTCCCAATGAAGAGAGGCATGGAATCACAGACCGTGGCCAGGAGATATAAGAGGATTAGAACCTGACGTGACCATTGGATTGGTTTTGTTGGGAAAATCTTCACCGGAAACCCATCGGTTTTTACCATCAAAAAAAAGGGCTTTCCGGTTCCAATTTTCCCATCATCCAATTCTATGAGACGTGACCAGGGCGCCTTTTGAGGTATCCATCCACTGGAGATTCCCCTGTAGGGTGATAAAATGTGCGGATATGATCCCTTTTTTTGGCCGTGTTGGTTTTCTATTAAAATCCTGTGAAAATGCTAGGAATATGATATAACCCATGACGGATCCATGGTGCTGGTATATATGCTAACATGACTGGGGTATATTCATGGGATTCATGTTACCATATATAGCGTACATGGATCCTATGGGTAATGTAATGGATGATATATCAGCAGCACAACTAGAAACCTTCCATTGATATGGCAATGCTCACTCCAATGAATATTATTTTATGCTGGCTTCTTGAAATGGGAGACCCAAGAATCACGGCAATGCAGCTGTAGAAATGGAGAGATTTCATGGGATTTCAATAAACCAATACGGGATGTATCGCAACAGACATACAGAACTTAGAACATTCCCGCATATCAGGAATTTCTCTTCCAAGTGCAAACTTTGAACATCACAGTCATCACAAATCAAGCCATCCAAACTTAGAACATCCGAAGTCACTTCAGGACTACAATGTGAGGCCCCCATTCGATAGCTAAGTTGGTTTATAACTCCAATAACTATGGTTTATGATACTTATAGCTATAGTTACTGGGGCTTATAAACCAACAAACATAACTGGGGGGGGCACAGCACATGGTATGTATACTCTCCTGTGTTTCAGGTAGGGAAAAATGCCAGTCCGTATACTTCCAAACGGACCCAGAATCCACTAGGTTGATCTATGTTTGTACAAACAAATGAAACATGTGCCGTTCCTATCTTAATATGTATGTATAATATATATATATATATATATGTATTACAATGTTCTATTTTATAGCCACCAAATCACTATATTGCCTAAAATTGCCTAAAACATATTCCGTTTTATAACCCTTTTTTTCACTATTTTGAGCAGTTCCAAGTTAAATCCCATAGTTGATAATGACAAACCCGTATCTCTGCAAATAAGAGTCGAAATAAATCTAGGGAATCTTCGGCCCATCCCCAAACAGTTGGCAGCGGTTTACACATGATTCATGGCAAGTGTTGAAGAAACAAAAAACTACCGTTGGTTTATAACTCCAATAACTATGGCTTATGGTACTTACAACGAACTAGTTACTGGGGCGAGTCTAAACCAACTGAACGCTATCGTGGCCGGGGGCCTCACATTGTAGAACTATCCCCACCATCCCTGGATGGGAAGTTGCATAAGATTCAACAAAAACTTGCAGACTACTCCAGGTAAACCCTACAAGTCACGTAAAAAAGGCGATGTGTTGCACGTACAGTTCGCTATGGAAATTCACATGGTTCTAAATATTTACCATATTGTAAATTCACAATGTCGAAATATTTCGAAGATACATGGGTCATCATGGGTCATTATCCGATAAGCGAAATGTTGAATTACCAAAGGATCATAAAGGATCCCATCACGCGACTGCAGGAACCAAAAAAACTGGCGACGAGATGACCCAGTTGATGTACATCATCCTCAGGGCCGGAATCAGCCTGGCGGCGCCAAGCAAGACATCACTGTGCGTGGGTGGTGCCGTTATAAAAGATGCAAAAAGATAGGTAAGTTATTTATAATGGTGATATAATACAAAAACAAATAATGGTAAATAAGATTTATAACTACAAGTATACAAGCATTGACAATGCAGCATTGACGGTGGATATATCTGGACAATTTATATGTAATAATTCACAAACCTGAAATCAAAAAAATCACCCTACTAACCATCATTCCAGTGACGTCCCAGTGGGTTGGTGGTATACCTACCCCTATGAAAAATGATGGAGTGAAAGTCAATTGGGATGATGACATTCCCAACTGAAGGGAAAGTTAAAGCAAATCATGTTCCAGTCACCACCAACCAGTATATGTATATATATATATATATATATACAGAAGATATATCCCAAAAATCACCGTTTTTGTTGTTTTTTGTCACCACGTTCCATAGTTTTCTCTCGCGAGGGATTGATGCAACAACAGGGTCAAATTCGGGTGCCGTAATCATTGGATCATACCACTGATCAAATCGATGGTCTGCTTGGATCTTTTTTCTAAGTCGTGCCCGCCATAGAAGGTTCACTGGTTGGTGGTTTCAACCATCTTGAAAAATATGAAAGTCAATGGGAAGGATTATCCTATATATTATGGAAAATAACAAATGTTCCAAACCACCAACCAGTTCAGGATTTCATAATTGTCATCGGAATGGGCTCTGATGAGAATTGATAGGACTTACTGGTCTATTCAACAACAGGGTCATATACAGAAAGTTGACTCGGAAAACCTTCAAGGTTTTCAACATGTCGTAAAGCTTCGTACTTGATAGGAGGGTCTGCTAGACAAAAACACCACATTCACATGACGGGATATCATCTAGGAATCTAGGTCAAATCTACCCATTTGGGCAACCCCCCAACAAAGGGTAATTAAGCCCGTCGTGTTGAAGTTAATAGGGGATTAACCACCAGTCAAACGGCAAATGTGATGCTGGTGATGCTGGTTAACTCCCCAGCTGTCCATTGGTTACACAACATCCAATTTTTTGGTTGGTCAGCTCCGAGACTTCTGGGTTAGTTATCGTTTCTGACATTTAAATCGCAGGTTTTTGGGGATACCCCATGTTCAGACCCCAAAAAAACATATTGCTGGTTATATATCCCAAGATATCCCCATAAAGTCACCAGAAAATCCTATCAAAACCTCTAAAATCCGATTATACCCCATGCAATCTCATTAAATCCAATTGAATTCCCATTAAATCCCATGAAATCACCATTCAAATCTCATTAAATCACCATTTTGGCGTGCTCAACGTATGCGACAAAAATTCACCTTTGGACACCGGCCGCGCCTGGACGATAGCAGCAGGGTGGCCATGACGATGTGCACGGTGGTTTGGCCCTGCAAACTGCAGTCCTCACCAGCGGATCAATTGGAGATCTGGACGAAGCAAAGACACGAAATCGTTAAATGGAATTTAATGGGATATATGTACTGTATATAAAACTATGGAAAGTGGTGACTTAACCGCCAAAAACGGTGATTTAATGGGATATATCTACTGTATATATATATATATATACACTGGTTGGTGGTTTGGAACCATGGATTTTCATGACTTTCCATTCAGTTGGGAATTTCATCCCAATTGACGAACTCCATCATTTTTCAGAGGGGTAGGGCTCAACCACCAACCAGTATATATATATATATCTATACCATCTGGTTATTTAACATAGCGAACTGGAAAATCCCTTCTAAATGGAGGTTTCTAGCTGGGAAAATAATCTATTTCTATGGGCCATCTATACCATGGCTATGTTAGTCATAACCAGAGGATAAAATCGTTAATCCTAAATCTCTGGTTCAATAGAATGATTCCTAAATCATTTTTTTGGGTTTCAATGGTTTCACTGGCCATGTTTTCCATAGGTAAATAAATCATTTTTTGGGTGTCAATGGTTTCACTGGCCATAAATAGGTAAATGATCGAACTCAATGGGCAATCTATAGCAAAGTGTTAAACATTACCAGAGGGCATTTTTTGACTGATCAGATTTCATTTATATTCACCAAAAAAGTGAAGTTATATGTTCCCATGGATCCAAACAGGAGAGGTGAACCAGGTGAACCATCCAACTTCGGCAGTACCAAGTTTTATAATACCCGATGGTGGACCGATGGTGGATGATTTGGGTGATTTTCCCCTACTCATCACTTGTGGAATCTTGTGGAGAGGTCAGATGTGATGCTAAGTGAAAAAAAAAAACAGAAAAGGGGTAGTGATAACCATCGACTATTGAAATTGGTTCGAAGATTGCACTCTAATGAATAAAACTCATATCAGCATTGTTGACAGGGTGGTGACATCATAAACTGTTCATGTTAACACCTCTAACCTTTGATGCGATGCACCCTTAAACATCCTTAAACTATGATATTATAAACTCTGAGACAAATTTGTCCGAATAATGGCCTCTACAGAATGAATTCAGATAGCAAATATCATCGTATGACTGAAACAAAACAACTAAAAAATATTGTCTGGACATTTCCTATCTCGTATTTATATGTATTTATACCATCCAAAACTAAGCCACCCTTGGGGACAAATTACTATGTTGATCAGCCAGAATATACATGTGGTCAGAGAAAAACTCATGGTAGCCGAATCCCTCTGATTCAAGTCTCACAACTTGCAACAGTGGCATCTGTAAAATCTTGGTGAATGACGTGTCAACGATGTAAGCCATCAAGCTACGTCTTTGCGCGGGTGGCAACCAAGTGCATTTTCCATATCAGGGATAAATCCTCAATGTATACCATCTGGTTATGACTAACAGTTCGCCATGGAAAGATCCATCCATTTTTAAGTTCGGTAAACCATCTATTTCGATTAGGGCCATGGCTTAACCATGGCGAACTGTGAATGTCATAACCAGATTGGGTAAACCACCGGTCGTTGTCTCAACGGCACTTTGGGATGTTACCGCTGGCTGGGGCTGCCTTAAAGGTCTCCATTCATCATGCGATCATTACATGCTGCAATGCTGAATGGAATCTGGCCATATGTGGCCATAACATGCCATAACTTGGTTTACGAAATCGCTAAGTTAGTTTCATAATAAATTAAGGTGAATTCTGAGAGGTTTATGGTGGATATAACGAACTCGTATTCATGGGGTTTTCATAAATCAACGAACATAAATATGGGGGGCCCCACATTACTGGTTGGTGGTGCAATAACCATCTTGAAAAATATGAAAGTCAATGGGAAGGATTATCCCTTTTTTATTATGGAAAATAAAAATTGCTTCAAACCACCAACCAGACTAGGACATGCTGAATGGAATCTTAGGGTTACCCTCTGGTAAACTGACATAGCTATTGAATAATTATGGCAATTTATAGTGAGTTTTCTCATTAAGAATGGTGATTTTCCATATAAATCACCATGTTTCCTATGTTTTTTCATGGTTTTCCCATCGTTTTTTCTCTGTTTGCCAGAGGGTATTCTCCATATCTATGGGGATCCTTCCAGCCTTGGAAGCCTTGGAGAGCTGGAAAATCATCGACAGCCCCGGAAAAACGTCCCCCGCGTCCATGTTGAAAGTCGCCAGCAGCAAGGGCTGGTGCCTCGGGGATCGCCGTTTTTGATGAACGCTGGTAAATTAACAGTTCGACCCTGGCAGTTGTCGGGGTTGGAAGATGAATTTCCATTGAAACTATAGGCTATTTTCAGGGTCGAACTGTTAATTTACCAGAGGGTAATATCTACTTGTGATGGTAAACTTGGGTAAACTTGCCATTTAAAGCAGTCACTGTTTGAGAAATATATATATATATTATGTAGAGAGAGAGAGAGAGACTCTCTGGCAATTGAACAGTTTGCTATGGGAATTGGCACAGTTATAGATGGTTTACCTATCAAAAATGGTGATAAGGGTATACAATGATTGTCATTATCATATATATATATATATATTATAATATATATATACGAGATCAAAAGCGTGGATAGCATGATACGACATGCCAAGATTGGCGGACAGGCACTTACCAACGCAACTATATACATATAATTACATATAGTGGTTGCTGTATTTTGCTATGCCTCCGCTACATTATGATACGACATACCTTTTTTGACTGCACTTACCGACTGGAAAATCAATGAGCATGACCATGATGGGAAGTCAAGTCATAAATCAAGAAGTTGCATTTTCTATAGCTACAATGTGGGCTCCCCACAGTTATAAGTTGGTTTATAAACCCCATTAACTATAGTTCCAGTTATGTTTGTTGGTTTATGAGCCCCATGAATACTATAGTTATAGGTATCATAAACTATAGTTATTGAAGTTATGAACCAGCTTAGCTATCTAGGGGGCCCCACATTGTATGTAACAATGTTAAATTACAAATTCTATTCAAACAGTAAACAAATAAGCTTGGGCTGAGCATTGCGCTGTATATCAGGGTGGTGGTATCTCTGTGCCTAACAAGGACATTCAGAAATTCCCAACAAAACATGACTTTTTTGGATGCATAGAAAATTGAGATTCGATAAAAACACCAAAAAATGCGCCATTTTTGATGGTGAAATCAGCAACTGCTGAAATTTATGCATTTTATGGATGATCTGATGATCTCATCCCGATTTCACAGATCCTACCGTAGGTACTAGCCTCTAGTAATTTAGCTATTGAACATGACACATCTGGTTGGTGGTTGAGCCCTACCCCTCTGAAAAAAATGAGTTTGTCAGTTGGGATGATTATTCCCAATATATGGAAAAAAAAAAATGTTCCAAACCATCAACCAGCACATAGTTACATAGTTGATTTACATTGATTTACCTCTTAAAGATGATGATTTTCCATTGGTTTACCTATTTTAAGGTCCTGAAATTCCCAAAAACATGTACCAACGGCACATGTTCCGCGACAGGTGGCTGATGGCATTTCAGGGCACACGCTTTGATGAGGTCTTCGCAACTGTGGCCTCAGGGCGATGCTGTGATGCGAAATGTAAACAAAATGGGGATCTAAACAACAATAGTGGGATAGATCATTCCATAGTTGTTGATTATATTCCATTGTTCTTACTATCATTGTTGGTATTTATCAATGGCCATTTCAGGAACCGATTGATTGGAGGTACCTAGCATATATGTTTGGCCTATTTTTTCAGGCCTATGTAAGGGAATATAACCACGAAATATGGCCTTATATGGTACAGTACCTCCGTTTTAGGATCCGGAAATTCCCATTGATCTAAACAACAAATAGTGGGATATATAGTGTGTGAATATAAGGCGATAGATAATAGGATATGTAATTGTAATGGAAATATAGTGGGGTATAACAAACTTACTCGTTTATGGTTCTCCATCCCAAAAATGAATCCTTATAATGGGTATATTGGCCGGCCTTTTTTGTTGGGCCGACTAGCCAAATGTTTTTTTGACCATGGCACAATCATGACAATACCATGTTCGAAGGTTTAAAAAACCCATCAACATGGTGGTTGGGAATCTGGATGAAACAAATCAAGCGGTTTTTTATCCATTTCTATGGCAATATATGGCAATCATGGCCATGTGGCCATGGCAATGGCGCAAATCACCCAAAAAAAAGTAGGGGATCTTGTCAGATTACCCTCTGGTTATGACTAACATAGCCATGGTATAGATGGCCCATTTATAGATGATTTTCCCATTAAACCCTCCATTTCTACGGGATTTTCCCTTCCAGTCATCCCCACTGGATCCCATCGGGTCAATGTTGGGAGCGGTTTAGGATCCCACATCACCAGCCGTTGTGTACATTCAGCCGATCCACTATGATAGTGTATATTCCTATTGCTATATAGGCTTATACTAGATTATAATCATACAGGATGGTGCCCCCCAGCAAAATGTTCCTTGGTTTATAGCACCATCTAAATATTCTGGTTGGTGGTTTTTTCGCCCTACCCCTCCGAAAAATGACGGAGTGAGTTCGTCAGTTGGGATGATGACAAACCACCGGATCCACTATGAAAAAAATTGGCTGTGGCAGATAGCCTCAGGTGAACTAGTGGAGGTTGAATGGGTTTATAGTGGGTTTACTATGGAAAACAATAGTTTTATGGGGATGATAATGGGATAATGATGGAAACTGGAAAATGGCGCAGTCGAAATAGTCGATTTAACCATTAAACATCTTGATTTTCCATAGTTGTTTGTATGTTTACCAGAGGCTAGTGGCTAATTGCATCTTATTCCGAACAACGTCAGACAGGTGTTTATCACCATCTTCCATGTTTTAAACGTTCAAATAATTATTTATCAAACTCAGATACTGTAGGTGTTTTGAAAACACATTCTATTCATTTTTTCAAAAACACGTTGATTCTTGGATTTGGGGTTGCCATGCACAAGTGCTCACAAAAATCCTATTGATTTGGGCGAGATTTTTTGGGTCGCTGGTACCCCCAACTGAAAAAAAAAACGTCGGTTGATATTTCAGTGGTCTAAGTGGTACAATGTGAGGCCCCCGTTCGATAGCTAAGTTGGTTTACATAACTCCAATAACTATGGTTTATGGTAATGTCAAGTTAAGATTAATAATCCCCGCGGTATTAATCAACCCCCTCTGCCCAAAAAAAAATGTAATTTAAAAAAAGGTGGTCCCCCAGGATTAATAAACCCCCCCGATTAAAAAACCACCAGTGCTGAAATCATTTTTTTATCCAACAATTTTTATTTCCAATTCTATTTATTTCCAATTTGTTTTTACATTTTTTTTAATCATCATTGTTATACTTAAGGTTTAAGTTGATCATTGAAAATTTCAAAAACGACTATTCCCCAAATGATTGATTTCTAATTAAAATCTTTATAAAAATCATCAGTTTGGATAGCTCCCAAAGGGTACCCCCCATGAGCCCATGTCCCCCATTAATAATAACCAGGGTTTGCCCCTGATTAATCAACAACCTTTCTGATCCATGAGATTTTAACAAATCCAATAGAATTCTATTAAGATCTAATTGACGTAAGCCATATCCAAATTTTTATGGTTCAGAGTTGCTTATTTATTAAGGGGTGGTCGAGAAACTCGCCAGAAGGTACCCCCCTACCTACCTGGTGGGGCGGGGTTGATTAATCCGATGTTGCCATTACTTATAACTATAGTTACTGGGGCTTATGAACCAACTTATAACTGGGGGGGGCCGCATTGTAGTGTTGGGACTATCGTAGATATAGCTGGACGGACTTATAAACTTCTAACTGTGGGCACCGCCTGGCAAATCCTTGTAGTATTTGGGCCGTAACCCATGCTACCCCCAAACATCCAAACCCGAAATCTGGGCATCTTGATACAACCGCCTGAGACAGGTGCAAGTGTGAAATCATGTGCTGACTATCCTACGCTGGAGAAATTATCATCATACAAGGTGCCGCCTAGTTCTGTTTGTTGCTTTATAATTTATGTAAAAATAATTTTAACCTGGTTGGTGGTTTTAACCATCTTGAAAAATATTAGTCAATGGGAAGGATTATACCATATGTTATGGAAAATAAAACATGTTTGAAACCACCAACCAGTCTGGGTAAATTGTAGAATTGCACCAACCGGAAACAAGGCCATTTGAGAATGATTCCCCTTACTAACCATGATTCCAGTGAGGTCACAGTGAGGTGACTATAATTTGCCCAGGCTATAAACTATAAACCCAACAGTGAACCTAGTTGTAAACCAGCTTAGCGAACAAACTAGGCCCGACATCGTACCCAACCTGAAAACATAATCGCGTTCTTGTCTGTTTTGTTGAGCCACATACAGTATCCCCCCAAAAAAACATGTGGTAATTCTCAAATTTCAACTATGAAGAGACAACATAACTAGGGAGATATAAATCAATCAACTATTTGATTGATGAAACCACCAACTATTAAGTACTCAACAAGTAACCTTCAACCACTTCTGGTGAGGCCGTGAGGCCTACTAGCACATTTCCATACATTTCCCGGTGAAATCCCTCCAGTAACTGAGGCGCAAACTCCACGGTTGGATACCATGAATGAAGGCGAAAATAAACTGCGCCACGGGAATGTCACGACCGGCGGTGGGGATATATTTTCCAGCGGCTAGCAGTAGATCCGGCGACAGTTTTTCGCCCGGCTACTGGTCAAGTTACATGAGAAGTTCTTCCAAACAATAAGGATTTAAGCAACGATTTAAGCAACGATATATTGGGATGTCTTGTTTTATATGGCTTTAAGCAACAATCATAGGATATATGAAGGGAACATTAATAAGGAATATATATGCTGAACACCTGAGCTATGCTGAACAAAACAACACGACGTATGGTGATGGGCCGTTGCGATTTATCCGATGTTTCCACCAATTTTGGATGGTATTTCAACCCTGGCAGAAAATCATGAATGGGATGTGTTCCAAAAAAACACCGTTAATTGTGTATTTTCAAGTGGTGAAAAGAAAGATAAACGGATTTCGCAACGGCCCATCCACAGGTTTTGTGGTGTTCAAAGGTCAATCATCCCCATGGTCCCATGGTTTGGCTGGGAATCCATGGGAATCCCATGATGGCTACAGCGGGAGGCAGCATTGCGGGCGGTGCTAAATGGGAGAGTTGCGGTGCTGTGATTTCTGTGTGATTTTAGTGTGTGTGTTTTTATGAAGAATTCTTACTTTGTACAAAACTAAGGCTGATAAAGATTTTTCTGCGCACTAAGGTAAGAATAAGTAAGGATTCTTCATAAAATCACTCACCGATTGCACCGCTTCTCCCATTTACAAGTCCGACTTATGTGCCTTTCCATGCTCAGCTTAGACACCCAAAAAAAAATGGTGGGTTCTGGCGGGCCTTCTCTCATGATACAGCACTATCCAGCAGCAACATCTACCGATAAAAATGATGATCCTCACAGCATGTGTTTAGCCTCCGAGATGTTTCCTGTTTCCTGTCTGAGGGCTTGACCCATGTGGAGACTATGAAATAGTACAGCTTGACCTCAGGCGGACGTAAAAAAGCCTACCATAGAACCATAGCCTACCCAGCCTAGCAATCTAGGCTGGCACTGGATAATTCCTGGTTTGCGATTTACTTTGCCTGGCAATCATAGTATCCACCTGGTGCTTTGTGGCCAAAGATTCGAGGCTGCAAGAGAAACTATTGACCCACTGCGGCTCCCTAATCAAATGTGTCGGGAGCCTTGGAGATCAAATAAATCAATATATTATACATGTATACAATGGTATATATATAACTATATATATATATGTATAACTATACATATACAGAACCATGAAAGGACTTTGCAGAAGAAGTAGTTGTGAATCTTAAGTTCTTTTGTGGTCTCAAAGGTCCAGCTGGGTCTGGGTGACGTATTTTCAATCTCAGCTGTACGCGCTACTCAATTTGGTGCAAAGGAGACGCCTAACATTGCATGTATTGCTTTTTGTTTTTCAAATGTGTTCGGAAAAATTACCAATGCCAAGAAAGACAAGCATGTTCTAACCAAATGAAAAATAATCCACAAGTATGCGGCACACGTGTCAATATTCCTTAGGTATGCCTCAATTTGCTGTGGCTTGGTTGCTTAATGGTATTCCTGGGTGAAATCTGGGTGAAATGAATGAAGTGAACAATGGTATGTCTATATGAAACAATATCGTCTTACCCATATTTATAGTGAAATTTATGGTGAACCGTCCAGGAAACCATATGAAACACATATTTGGCTCCTCAGTCTACAGGTCTCAGTCTGCGCCACCACTCTGATTTGACTGAGATAAGGGCCATAGGTCTTCGCAAGCACAAGACCACACCTGTAGACATTACCTTGGCAGTGTCAAATCATCCAATGCCAATGTGTGGCTGAAAGATAAGAGACACCACATTGTGAAGTATGGGGTATATATAGTTCCACATGATTGCGCAACCAAACTAGGGACTAGAATAATTTACCATATAATTCTGAAAAACACAAACCAATATAAACCAATCAACCAAATTTTTTCAGACAGGAATTTACAAGTAATGCATATGAATAATCAACAAAAGCTCTTTCAATCAACCCGAGCCGGGCAATTTTAGACCTTCGACTGGGACCCGGACGATGAGGAAGATGACGTCGATCCTGGGTGACCGAGGTACCCAGCGGTTACCCGGCAGATTTTACAACTGTCATGACGACTACCCGCCCTGGTAAACATACCAAAAACTAGGGAAAATCACCATGTTCAATGGGTAAATCCACTATTTCTATGGCCATTTTCAATAGCAAACTGTAAACATCTGTAAACGTTTACCAGAGGGTAGTCATGACATGTCCTCCACATCTTTGCCCAGTATTCTATCTGGACTTTGCGTTTGTCAAAACACTGCGTTGGGCACGTACCGAATACAGATGATCACTTTGCCTCACCACCATGATTCGACGAATGAAACCCAACTTGGACAAGACTACATATGATAATATCCAAACATGGGGGTAAAGTTGCATCAATCTCACCTTTTCTACATCTGTTTGGAGGTTGCAAATGTATCAAATGTCTTCTGATCAAAGGTGGATTTCACAAACATAACTGGATCTTTCTGGGTAAATTGCAATAATTCACCAAAAATATCAATGGGAATGACTCAGGATCCAATACATGGAGGTACGTTGGTACCATATGTTTGGCCATATTTTGGAGGATATTCCCTGAAATTTAGGCCTGAAAAATCGGCCTTCGATATGGTACGTACCTCCAATTTAGGTTCCTGAAATGGCCATTGATTTTGTCTTTTGATGTCGAGGGTCGTTAAACTGTTCCTTCACATCATTCACTTTATTTTTCCACTTATAGAAAGAAACTAAAGGATGAATGAAATCCATTACCAGCTGGTTATTTAACATAGCCATGGAAGATCCCTTATAAATGGAGGTTCTAATGGGAAGATCATCTGTAAATGGGCAATTTTTCATAGCTATGTTAAATAACCAGAGGGTATACTACCTATCTAAGGTTGGGGATGATGTATTGAACTAGTTAACGAATGTTAATGGGCAATCATGTCCTTTTGATAGAAATAGAGGGGCCGGGAGCTGGTATACCATCTATCATCATTTACCTGTGGTTCAAGGGGTTTCTAAAAAAAACTTCTATTAATCAACCAACCAATGGGAAAAGGACATCTATCTGGGTAAATGAAATAATATTTCACTAACCTGAATCTTGCGGCCATTTGGGGATGATTTCCCTTACTAACTATGATTTCCAGTGAGGGAGAACAGTGAGGTCGTGATGAAATTTACCCAGATCTATGTTAATGGGATTTCAAAAAGCAACAAATATTTCACAGACACCACCTTGTGGGTCCAAGGCAAATCCAAGTCGCTCGTAGTCTTCTTTTTAGGCGAGTTACTACCATGGCTACCATAGTTTTGAGAAACATACAAATATGTCCAAGAAAACATTACTATCACGATTCGATGAGTTCCCAAACATACTTTGATTTTGTTTCTTTAGTTTGTAATCGTATGAGATCCATGGATCAAGTGATGGATCTTTGACCATCAAGCAAAGCTGCTTGAAGCTAAACTGCCTGTGTTCAGATATGGGTCAAAATCCACCTCCAAAACGGTGACCCCAAGATTTTCCAGTGCTAAGATTCGTCACATTTGTCACCAAAACAACCTCCCAAAGGGAGGTTTTTTGCTGGTCACCAAGCTGTGGATCAAAAAATCATGTGGGTCAATCCATCAATCAACTTGCCAACATAAACGAATACTCCAATCAGCAGTGTATTAATATAATATGGAAATATATGGAATATCATTGAAAAATATAATATCACTAGTTATATAATTGTGGATAAATCATATTCCATATCCAGTGAATATACCCTCTGGTTATTTAACATAGCCATGGGAAATGGCCCATTTATAGATGGTTTACCTATTAAACATTGTGATTTTCATGGCTATGTTAAATAACCAGATGGTACTTCTAATTACTTCTACAGCAGACTGTTTTTTTCGAAAGAAATTCTTCCCCCATAGAGAATCCCCGAAAAATCACATGTTGGGGGCCTAAATGGGGACCACTCAACGAACCACCAAGACTTACCCATGCCTTGCGAAGGTGCAGTGGGTTCCGACCTCCCAATGCCATCAAGACTCAGAAAGGCCCACTTTCTGCGGCCTCCACGCATCAACATATATGACCTGCCGGGAGAAATAACTCGTTCTTTGATGAGGTTATACAAGTTCCTTAAGCAGTATAAATCTGGATGCATGGTTACAAAATGTTAGAAACATGTGAATCCGATGTGATTTTTCATTCCAACTCATACTCATGAAAATCTCATGTTTCATGGGATAGATTCACCCATGAAACTCCTTGAATTCTTGGGTACATATGTAGGCAAATAGACCATAAAAATGGAGGATCTGGGGCGGTGCCCCGCTCTGCAGAAGGTGCGTTTCGCGGTGCCTACTTCGAACTTCGCGAAAACTTCGTTTACGGGACCAGCTTCTACTGGTTGGTGATTTCAACCTACCCGTCTGAAAAATATGAGTGAAAGTCAGTTGGGATGATGACATTCCCAACTGAATGGAAAGTCATTCAAAATTCCATGGTTCCAGTCACCACCAACCAGTCTAGGTAGCAGAACTAGCAAGAGCTGGTTTTCCATGTTGGGGGTAGAGAGTTTGAGGTGCTCGCCATTGAGAGGATCGAGCACTTCAGCTCATCTTCATAAGGCTCTTTCTCGGCTCCCTCTTTCTCCTTCTTTCCAAGTTCTTTCAAAACCTGTCTTATCATCCTGCATCTCATTCTGGACTGGCTTCGCAGGAAGGTGGCATAGGCGACCATGCGAAGCGTCTGCTCCGCAAGGGTATCCCGGCTTTCGTCATCCAGGTCCATCATTCTTTCTATTTCGTCTTTTCGCTTTGCAAGCTCCTGAGTCTTTTTCAGATCTTCTTCGGCCTTCTCCAGTTCTATCTTGGCATTCTCAAGGTCCTCCATGGTGATTTCCCTTTCACCATAGTGGGCTTCTGTCCAAGCCTCCTCTTCCAGAGCCCCTGAGACTCCTTCCGGTCTCGTTTCAGTTGTTTCTCTGGCTTCAGGTCTCTCACCTCTCGAGGCATTCTCTTGGTCTCTGTCCAGTCAATGGACGCCCTAATATTTCTGGCTTTTATGGGCTTTTGCAGAAAGGGAGTATCTAAACAGGTATCTACCCCAGTTGTTGCCTTTAAAATTAGCGAAATATGATGATCAACAATTGGGGAATTGGGGAAATGCTGGAAGACCATACCATACACGAGTTTCTAAGTCTAAGCCACATTTATATCGGTCCATTTTTTTCATCGACCATGGTTGGCCTCACAGATCCGCAGGATCCGCAGCAGTTCTGGGACGCCGAACGAAAAAAAAACCAGAAGCTGTTCAGCAAGAGCAGCTGTTGGCATCCCAACCTCGGGCGGTCGGGTCGGACATCGGTCCGGAGGCAGTGTCTGATTGGATTATTTTTTTGTGGATATCCAGTGGATCTGAAAATCTTTACAGAAAGATTATCCATGTTACTTTAAACTGCAAATTCTTGAGTCTTGGTTTAAGATATAGTTTCTGTGTGTTTCTCAAAGATAAGAGATATACGCTCCCGAGATGGAGCATGGGTTCAGGTAAATGTTGACCGTCACTGGGGACGGAAACAAAAAAACATCACCATGCACCAGTTGGTTTATCCAAACATTGGTGCATCTCCCATTTCTTGAGGGGCACAAATCTGAATTTGTCTGTATCAACCTTGACATCCCAAGAAACCTCCAGGAAAAAAACACGACAACTATAATGCTGGGTTGAACATATCCTAAGCTGGGGCTGACATTCTTGTGCCATTTCTGCAAGTGTAAATCCTACAAGTCCTAACACCATCTAATACCATCATAGATAACCCTGCTGGGATACCAGGGAATGGGATGCACATATTGTTCTTCCCCCGTTCAAATAGCGGCAGGTTATGAGCTATTCCTTAAAAAAATAATCACCGCGCAGGTCGCATAGGCTCAAGGGGCACATTGGATGAACATCTTCCCAAGCATTCATCTCTCAACCCCAAAGAAGGGGGCAAAGTTTTCGTCCAGCATGCAGGTTGCCTCCGCAACCTGTGCGATACATGTCATGGGGGCGCTTTGTGATTTTGATCTTCGTCAAAAAAGGCAGCCGTTGCCATTGCCGAAGATCAAGGGCTGAGCATCGATCTGAGAGGTCCTTCGTTGAACTGTGAGTGGTTCGTCCCAGTGTGTGAGGCATACATATTTGTCAGGTGAAAACAATAACTAACATAGCTATTGAAAATACCCATAGAAATAGTTGATTTTCCCATGTGGATCTTTCCATAGTTTTTTGTTAACGTTTACCAGAGGGTAAATCACCATTAAATATCATTAAAACCCATTAAATCACCATTAAATCACCAATGTATAGAACAACACCATTTGTGGAACATCAAAACCCGGTGCGGGAAAGACAAATCCACAAATCCACACGGGTCTCGTATGGTCTCGTCACATATGGCTAAACCATGCCGAATCATTTGAGGGTCTATAGCCCATATATATATATATATGTATATGTATATATAAATATACATATATATATATATACAATTATATACATATGTATATATATATATATGTATGTATGTATATATATATGTGTATCAGCATATCAATCTAACCGTCGAACTGGATACATTTCAAGGGTCATAGCCTACTTGCCAGTCCGGTGTCTGCCAGTCCGCGGCCCAAGGGATCCAACATGGACAAAGGCTACCACCGGTTATAATGG